ACTGCGTGTTTCAACACCACAGAAGCATGCCTTTTTAGTTTTAACTTCCAAATTTCCATTTAACTTGAACATCTTCCTTCCGGGAAAGCAGTGGCCTCCATAAATTCGTAAATTACATTGAGGTTTGGCTCGTGCTTGCGTTCTGGATCTAAGTAGATGTAGTTCATTACCGCCTCAATCAGTGGCTGAACTCATTCCAGTGCTGATTTACAATTCGCCGTTCCTTCGATACATTTGACATACGTAAACAGTGTCTTTAGGACTAAATGTTTGAACACCACATTTGCCACTAGTTGTGTTTTTTACCTTAAAGATTCAGTGGCTAGTGGAGGAGGAGGATGCGGACGTGTTGGCAGCCACGACAGCGGGCCAAACAGCATTGGATTTTGCAGTTGAAGGCAAACACCGAGGAGTGATTCGCTACCTACTCCCACGAGTTATCAACAGTCAGTTACAGCCCACTGGCGGCGAGGCAGACACTCCAAGAATCCGCAGAACGCGGTCTGTCTCCTTGGCTGATGCTCGCCTCCCCCAAAGCCAAACTCAAGCCTTCACTAAGCTCTCCGACCCACTTAGACGACGTTCAGCTCACTTCAATCAACAATTGACGTGTAGGGAGCATACGATCTATTCGAATGTCTGTGGAGCTGCAGCTAGTCGACCGCTAATTACGTCTAAGTGAGTAGTTTTGTGAACAAAGTCCCAAAATCCTTGTTTGATCAGTTATTGCTGCTTTAATCCCATAAAGAAAATCTAGTAGAATCCATCAATTTAGCCCTGCAGCGTATTAGAAAAGAAGAATTTGATCCACATGGTAACCTTAAGTAGCGATCAAAAAGTTGGGGCAATGCTTTTATAAAATGCAAGTGGTATCGCTTTAGTTTGCTTGATTGCTTTACTCTCAGTTGTAGCGCCGAATGATCCACTGACACCTCTCCGTAGGTTTTCAAAACTTGTATTAAAAACTCCACCAGAAAGCGCTCCGACGAAGAGATGAACTAGTTGCAGTTACCTTGGCAGTTGCGTACTCCATATTCATTGGCGCCTAGGAGGGCTTGTTTGCGATTGCAACGACATCACTAGTTTAAACAAAGATGTAGACTTACGTCTACTAAGTGGTGGAAAGCACACAAGGCTGTCACTGGCTATGATTATTTTCTTTCAATCCCTTTATTCAGAGTAGTAATAAGCTTTGGAGTAGCTTCTTGTATCCAGAGCTTCTGATGTCATGGAATTAATTGTAGGGAATACCTGTTTCACTCTTATTAATGGAGGTCATGAAGAATGCAGTCGCAGAGCCACCGTGGTCGACAGCGTAGGCGACCTAAGTGCTATGATGTTTTGCCACCTGTATCAAATAAAAAGTTGCCTTTAGAAGGGATTTCCGGTAGACGTGGGTGGGGAGCTGTTTATTGGGAGTCAATCATACCACATTGAGGGAAGACAGAAGGGATCCGCATGGAGTAGACCTGCGAATTTACATCCAAAAAGGCATACTTCTGTGGTGTTGAAACACGCAGC